TTGGCAAGGTGATGTCTCTGCTTTTTAAGATGCTGTCTAGGTTTGTCATTGCTTTTCTCCCAAGGAGCAGGCACCTTTCAATTTCGTGACTGCTTTCACCATCTGCAGTGATCATGGAGCCCAAGAAAGTAAAATCTCTTACTGCCTCCAACTTGGATTGCTGTAAAGGAAAGGATTAGACAAATTCATGGAGCATGAAACTACAAATGGCAGAGGGCCATACACTTGCAAATACCAGCTGCTGGAACTTGCAGGAAGGGAGAGTTCTCTTGTGCTCAGATTCTGCTTGTGTGCTTCCCATGGTTTGGGCATCTGGTTGGCCACTGTGAGAAGTGGGATGTTGGATAGCATCTCCAAGCAGGGTTGGGAATGTCTCCTGCCTGAAACCCTGGACAGCCATGGCCAGCCAGTTTTACCAATGATCTGACTCAGTCTCTGACAGCTTCCCATGTTCCCATGTGTATCCAGACACGAAGAGCATTGTGCTTCACACTGGCACTCTCCCACCTTACTAGGTTTTCCCGAATCCCACCTTAGTAGGTTTTCAGAAGAAGCCGCCGGGTTTTAATACAGTCATACCTCGGGTTACAGACGCTTCAGGTTGCGTTTTTTCAGGTTACGGATGCGCTGAAACCTGGAAGTACCAGAAACCCAGAAGTACCAGAACAGATTACTTCCGCGTTTCAGTGGTTGTGCATGCGCAGAAGCGCTGAATTGCAACCTGCGCGTGTGCAGATGTGGGCGCTGTGGGTTGCAAACATTGCGGGCTGCAAACGTGCCTCCCGCATGGATCACGTTCACAACCTGAGCGTCCACTGTACTTCAGTTTACCAGGCACATTTAGGGGACTAGCTTAGTCTAAGAGTTAGCAGACGTCCCTAGTTTCCTGGGGACAGTCCCTGTTACAAATCAGTCCTCTTTTATTATGAATCAGCAGCTTTTTGCTGGTTGAAAGAATGGCTACTTCTTGAAAACACTGACATTTTGGACTTGGAAGGTTTTAACAATGTATTTGGATGGCATGCATATCTATGGTATGATAAGGTCAAAGCACATAAAGCATTCAAAAACCACATTGTCAGGAAAGCGCTGTTTAATGTTTGGATAAGATATAAGGATTTGTTAGAAAACAAAACTCCAAGGTGGCTGTCACCAATGGAAGCGAAAGCCTGAAAAAGGTCAATATGGAGGTCAAATGGCCGAAATATTGGGAAATTTTGGAACAAGACGGAGACAGACTGAAATTGCAGAGCTTTGAAAAGTTAAAAAACAAAGTGCGAGACTGGCTTCATTATTTCCAGATAATGGAGGCATTTAAATTGGACAAGAAAATTGGCTTCCAGGTGGAAAGATCCAAATTAGAAACAGAACTGTTAGAACCCAAAACTAAGAATTTGTCAAGAATGTATAACTTGCTGCTGAAATAGAATACTCAGGATGAAACGGTAAAATCGGCTATGATTAAATGGGCACAGGACATTGGACATAACATTATGTTTGCTGACTGGGAACAGTTATGGACCACAGGTAAGAAATTTACGGCATGTAATGCCTTAAGAGAGAATATTATGAAAATGATATACAGGTGGTACATAACCCCAGTCAAGCTTGCAAAATTTATCATTTGCCCGATAACAAATGTTGGAAATGTAAAGAAACTGAAGGTACATTTTTTCACCTTTGGTGGACGTGCCCAAAGATTAAGGCTTTCTGGGAAATGATATATAATGAATTAAAAAGGTATTTAAGTATACCTTCCCTAAGAAACCAGAGGCCTTTCTCCTGGGCATAGTCGGCCAAATGGTGTTAAAAAAGGATAGAACTTTCTTTTTTGTATGCAACAACAGCAGCAAGAATACTCATCGCAAAGTATTGGAAGACACAAGAACTTCCCACGCTGGAGGAATGGCAGATGAAACTTATGGACTATATGGAACTGGCGGAAATGACTGGTAGAATCCGTGACCAGGGAGAAGAGTCGGTGGAGGAAGATTGGAAGAAATTCAAAGACTATCTTCAGAAACATTGCAAAATTAAAGAATGTTAGAGTGATGTTGGACTGAAAATAAGCGGTTTCCAGCTGTACAGGTTAAGGTTAATGATAGATTAAGACTAAAGATTAGGATTAAAGATGTTTAATGAAATGGAAATTTGACAATTAAGAGGTAAAATTTTAATGTTACATTACATTAAGACTAAAGATTAGGTTTAAAGAAGTTGAAGTTATATATTTCAATATTATATTAAATTAAAGACTGGGATTAAAAAAGTGGAAAAGAAATTGCTGGACAAACAATTTGGATTGGAATACAAAAGAGGGAGGTATGAGGAAGTCCAGAAAATAAGCAAATTTAAAAACGGAAATGGAAAAGAGATATTGTTTTTTTTAATTGTTATGTTCTTTTTTATTGTTGATTTTTGTCTTTTGTGTTTTTTCTCTTGTTTTTTCTTTGAGATTTGTATGGTGTATTTGTGTATTTTTTTATGTTTTTCTTTTCTTTCTTTGTTGTTTAATTTCTGATTGAAACTTTAATAAAAATTATTATTAAAAAGAAAGAAAAAGTCTGACAAGTAACCTTAGCTAGTTCCCCTAGTCCACTGACTGCATGCCACTGATCAAACCCAAAGCAATGCAGGGTGCCGCTGTGTCCTTAGCCTGTCCCTTGTAAATAAGAGGGAGAACTGGAACATAGGAAGCTGCCTTATATTCAGTCAGTCCATTGTTTCACTTAGCTCACTATTGTCTACACTGATGGGCAGTGGCTCTGCCTGCAGACTTCAGGGACTGAGCCTGGCAGCCTCTGCATGTAAGGCAGAATCTCTACCACCGAGCTACAGTCTTTAGTAGTTGGAGCACATTGGGTACCTGCCATTTCTTCTGTTGCTCTGGATAGTTAACCAATAACAGTGAATTGTTGTCAAAACCCTTGAGTCCCGTTCCTCTTTCCCCCTGCATTTTGCCTGGGACCTCCTTGGGGAAAGATTAGGTGCTATGGTATGGATGATGGCATGTGATATATCAGCTCTTTACCTTTGAAGGGATGGAGCAGAATCCCCCGAAGACATTTCAAAAGGCCAAACCTGATGTTCCAGGACACTTGTTGGTAAAGATCAGCAATCCTTGTGGGATATTGGATCGGTCCATTTCAGAATAAATGTCCTGATGTGAAATTGGTGCATATGGCAAGCACGGAAAGGGCAGTCAAGAGGCAAAGCTTAAACTACAGGAAAGTGAAAACAAGCCTTTCCTGGGGGTTTAAGTAGTAGTCCTAAATGCACAGCTAATTTTAGCAAAATCACAGTAGCAAGAGAGAGGTTCCTGGACCATTTTACCACGTGATTGGGATATGGTAAAGCCACTGAAAACGAAATAAAATACAGTTGGCACAAATATGTACTTTTTATTAAAATTATATCCTTCCTTTAAAATGAGCACAGGGTAGCAAACAACAATTGATCAAACTATAAGGACATCTTAAAAAACAAATAAAATTCTGGGAAATTTTGGAACAAGACGGAGATAGACTGAAATTGCAGAGTTTTGAAAAACTAAAAAACAAAGTGCGAGACTGGCTTCATTATTATCAAATAATGGAGGTATTTAAATTGGACAGGAAAATTGGCTTCCAGGTGGAAAGATCCAAATTAGAAACAAATTGTTAGAACCCAATACTAAGAATTTGTCAAGAATGTATAACTTGCTGCTGAAATGGAATACTCAAGATGAAACGGTAAAATCGGCTATGATTAAATGGGCACAGGACGTTGGTCATAACATTATGTTTGCTGACTGGGAACAGTTATGGACCACAGGTATGAAATTTACGGCATGTAATGCCTTAAGAGAGAATATTATGAAAATGATATACAGGTGGTACATAACCCCAGTCAAGCTTGCGAAAATCTATCACTTGCCCGATAACAAATGTTGGAAATGTAAAGAAATTGAAGGTACATTTTTCACCTTTGGTGGACGTGCCCAAAGATTAAGGCTTTCTGGGAAATGATATATAATGAATTAAAAAAGGTATTTAAGTATACCTTCCCTAAGAAACCAGAGGCCTTTCTCCTGGGCATAGTGGGCCAAATGGTGTTAAAAAGGATAGAACTTTCTTTATGTATGCAACAACAGCAGCAAGAATACTCATCGCAAAGTATTGGAAGACACAAGAACTTCCCATGCTGGAGGAATGGCAGATGAAACTTATGGACTATATGGAATTGGCGGAAATGACTGGCAGAATCCGTGACCAGGGAGAAGAGTCGATGGAGGAAGACTGGAAGAAATTCAAAGACTATCTTCAGAAACACTGCAAAATTAAGGAATGTTAGAGTGATGTTGGACTGAAAATAAGTGGTTTCCAGCTGCATAGGTTAAAGTTAAGGATAGATTAAGATTAAAGATTAAGATTAAAGAAGTTTAAAGAAATGGAAATTTGATTTTAAAAGGGAAAACTTTAAAGTTACAGGATATTGAGATCAAGGATTAGGTTTAAAAGAGTTGAAGTTATATATTTTAACATTTTATTAAATTAAAGATTGGGATTAAAAAAGTGGAAAAGAAACTGCTGGATAAATAAATGTGGATTGGAATACAAAAGAGGGAGGTATGAGGAAGTCCAGAAAATAAGTAACTTAAAATTGGTAATGGAAAAGAGAGTTCGTTATTAATTGTTTTAAGTTTTGTATTGTTTTTTGTGTGTGTTGTTTTTCTTTTTTGTTTGTTTAAAAACCTTAATAAAAATTAATAAAAATAAAAAATAAAAATAAAAAACAAATAAAATTCTACCACAGATGCAGGGTGAGGAATATCTTAGATACGAAACAAAATATATGTTATATGAAAGGAAGAACACCTTTGACATTTTATTTTTAAAAACTCTATTGTTTTAAATAAAAACTCTAATAACATTTTTATTTTTAAGAACCTTGAAGGCCAAAGTAGAGAGGGTTCCATGTGAACAGCTGTTGAATATGGACCAGTCGTTTCTTCAGGATAGGCGAATGTTGTTCCAAAGAGATGGGCGATGGGCTCCATTGCCTTCGGTCAATCGAAATAATTGAAAGATTCAGATCCCTGAATCTGGAGTGGCAGAGGTGGGCACTGCAATGTGGTAACACAAGCAATCCGAGAGAAGCCAGCAAGAGCCCCAGGGCAAGTCCTCTTTTTTTGTGGCACAGTAAAACAAAAGAACGAAAATAAGTGAGTTTGCTTATGTCAGGCGTGGAGTATCCTCTCTCTTCCCCGGTAGCCTCAGAGGCAAGAAGAAGAAGAGTTTGTATTTAATGGCTTTTTATTCAGTCATCTGGTTGTAAGACAAAAGATCCATGTCTCCACGCATAGGAGACATTGGCTACCTCTGAGTCCCTCCTCTTCCGTCTCCCACAACATCCTGGAAACCTACAGGAAGAAGGAGGAGGAGGAGGAGGAGGAGGAGGAGGAGGAGGAGGAGAAGAAGAAGAAGAGTTTGGATTTGATATCCCGCTTTATCACTACCCGAAGGAGTCTCAAAGCGGCTAACATTCTCCTTTTCTTTCCTCCCCCACAACAAACACGCTCTGAGGTGAGTGGGGCTGAGAGACTTCAGAGAAGTGTGACTAGCCCACGGTCACCCAGCAGCTGCATGTGTAGGAGCAGAGACGCGAACCCGGTTCACCAGATTACAAGTCTACTGCTCTTAACCACTACACCCACACTGAATGGAAGTCACAGGAGTCACATTCCTCTGCATTCTCTGTTCTTGAATGTGGAGGGACCAGCGAGCCCTTGGACTAGAAAGGTCTCCCATACCCTCCAGGAGGTCTCTGCTGTCTGCTCTCTAACTTCTCCCTCCTCATCCTCCACTATCTTGTAACTAGGCATTTCCTCATTCAGCTCTACATCATCCCTGTCTCCCTCTCTTCCTGAAACTGCTGGAGACAGGGAAGACAAAACTTCCCACATTTCCTCCTCTTCTGAGAGGAGCTGATCAGACCAAGGGCTCATTTCCCATTCCTCCTGTCCAGTCCAGTCCCTGATAGCTTATAATTCACAGTCCCATCCCCATCAAATTAGCCTCCACCTCTTAATCAACTAAACCTTCAGTTGATTAACTTCACAGGTAAAATAATCATTCATCCCTGCTTCCTAGTAAGCTTGCTTAGTAGTGTAACCTTACCTGACTAGGACTCAACTTTTAAGTTGCTGATTGATTTGCCATTTATAGTTGCAGACTTACGACTGTTCTGCTCATCCTAAATGTAGGAGTAGCCAATGGGGAATCCTCCAGATGTTGTTAGACTCTAGCTCCCATCGCCTGTGACATTTGGCCATGCTTCCTGGGGCTGATGGAGTTCGACAACATCTGAAGAATTTCACCTAAGTTTCCCTTGACCACAGTGTTCTGTACACCAGCCAGGTTTCCTCCTTATACTGTGTTGTACACATCCTGCCATTAGCTGTAAGAATGGCAGGGAAATTATACATCTAATTATCACAGTGGCTATAATTGTGTTAACGTTGCTGTCAATCACTGCTCCTTTCCCACGAATATAACTGCTTGTATTTTTCCCTCTTCTTGGCTGTTTTTAATTATCTCCCTTCTTCCCCTGCAGAGCAGCTTTCCCATTACGCTAACCCTTTCCACGTTGTTCCAAGGCAAGCACCTCTAGCCCATTTTTATCACCTGTGTTTCATGGCTCAACCTGTTCCTTCTCTTACATAAAGTTTCACTTGCTAAATCATTTCAGTAACTATGTGCTCCAAGCCTTGACGGGATTAGTCTAATTTCTTGCATGCCACTGAGCCATCTGACACTTGCATTTGATATATTTGAAACTAACTTCACTCCTGTTGTCTTTGTCCATGGAGTTTTCTTGGCAGGGATACTGGAGTGGCTTGCCGGTTCCTCCTCCAGGTGGATCACTTTTGGTCTAAACTCTCCACTATGACCTGTCTATCTTGGGTGCCCTGCTTGGCATAGTTCATAGCTTCTCTGAGTTATTCAAGCCCCTTCGCCACGGCAAGGCAGTGATCCATGAAGGGGATCTGATCGCCGAAGAATTTATGCTTTTGAATTATGGCGCTGAAGATCAAACCTCTCCGTTCTGAAGGAAATCAGCTCTGAGTGCTCACTGGATGGACAGATCCTGAAGCTGAGGCTCCAATACTTTGGCCACCTTGTGAGAAGAGAAGACTCCCTGGAAAAGACCCTGATGTTGGGAAAGATGGAGGGCACAAGGAGAAGGGGAAGACAGAGGACGAGATGGCTGGATAGTGTTCTCGAAGCTACCAGCATGAGTTCGACCAAACTGGGGAGGCAGTGGAAGACAGGAGTGCCCTGGCGTGCTCTGGTCCATGGGGTCATGAAGTGTCGGACACAACTAAACGACTAAACAACAACAACAACAACAACTTCACTCCTAGTGTTTTGAATGATTTAGGACTGCAGATTTGGTACAGAGTGTAGGTATGGAAGTACAACTGAAATGCTCCTCAGTACTTCTTTTTTAAACTCACTGCATGTGAAATCTAGCCTCTTAGGAAGAAGGCTAGGCTAGAATCCTCTTTCTGGCATGCTAGTATGCCTTAAGAGAATGTGTGCTCCTTTTACAGAGTTTCTGAGGGCACAGGTCGGTGCTGTGGCTCAGTGTAAAAAGGCTTTTGCTATATCCTATACAGTGGTACCTCGGGTTACAGACGCTTCATGTTAGAGACGCTTCAGGTTACAGACTCCACTAACCCAGAAATAGTACCTCGGGTTAAGAACTTTGCTTCAGGATGAGAACAGAAATTGTGCGGTGGCAGTGGGAGGCCCCATTAGCTAAAGTGGTGCCTCAGGTTAAGAACAGTTTCAGGTTAAGAATGGACCTCCAGAACGAATTAAGTTCCTAACCTGAGGTACCACTGTACAGCAGAACCTCCGTTGCCGAACGCTTTGGAAGCTGAACAGTTCGGAACCTGAATGCTGACAACCCGGAAGTGAATGCTTCCATTTTCAAATGCACCTTGGAAGTTCTGGAAGCATGTTTCTCCATTTTTTAAAAGGAATTTGCTGACTGGCAATTGAGCCCTCAGTTACTGAACATTCTGGAAGTTGGATGTGTCTTCTGGAATGGATTATGATTCCACAACCAAGGTTCCACTGTAACAGCACTCCACCTACTTTGTGAGCCTCCCAACAAGTCTTATGGTTTCATCTTCTTCTGTAGCAGGCAGTGCCTGCACAGAGTGGTCGTGATGGGAGCAACCTCTGTGTGGGTTCAACCATTAGCTTCCTGAAGAGCTTAGGAGCTGGCTGATCCCTCACCAGGAGAATGCACGACCAGAAAGGAGAGGAACATCAAGCAGACTGGAAGAAATTTAAAGACCATTTGAATAAATATTGTAATATTAAAGATATGTAACCACTTGAAAGAAACAATTAGGCCTAGGACTAAACTGGAACTAAATCGATAAACAAGAAAATGTACGATAAGGAAAGTCATGTAATATGATTAGGACTGTGATATGGTTTTTTGAAATATTGATATTGGAAACTGTAAGTATAATTACTAAGAAATTCAGATGGAAGAGATCTGAGGAAGTCAAATACTATGTTTATGAAGATGGAAGATACTTAAGTTTAATT